GTTCATAAATATTTTTTATTGGATTTTGATCTCAGTTTTTTTGTTTTAATTTGATCACTTTGGTCCTTATTTTTTTCCCTAATTTTTTTAATTAAAAATTTTAAGACAAAAAAATTGTTTAGGAAAAAACAATTTACAAAATAAAATTTTATCTAAAAATGTGGATAGAGATAAATAAATAATGTTTTTTAATAAAAAATTATGAAAATATAAAGAATAATTAGCTCAATACAAAATGATAAAATTGAATGAATTTATATTCAGTTTTGATTTGATGTATTTTGATAGTTACACGATAGAACACAGGACATCAAAACTAGTTTAACGCTACTTGGAAATTATGGAATACAAAATTGTCTTGTTATTACTCCATGGTTTAGATACTATCAAATCCGAAAGTTGCACCAAAAATCCATTTCAATCACCATTTTTAACAGCACTAATATTGTGAAATCAGTAACCAAACGCAACAACAATAAAAGCTCAGACCATCTTGATCAAGCTGACATACTGCCTCTACATAGCAAAAACAAACTAAATCAGTAACCAAACACAACAACAATGAAAGCTCAGACCATCTTGATCAAGTTGACATATTGCCTCTACATAGCAAAAACAACTAAAGCAAGCCAACGATTGATTAACAAGGACTTACATGGTAGACAACAAACTGCCACAAAATTTCCTACACCATACCTATAACTTGCAGAGTAAAAAAATAAAAATAAAAATTGAACCCAGAATGTTCCTGAGAAATTTTTTGAAAATCTTTCTAAAATAACAGGCTCAACAGGAAGCCTCCCATTCTTGTTAAACTGGGAAGCACAAATAACAGCCTCGAGATGCATTACCTGGATAACCCAGGGTACTAACCCACCACCATAACCTGGTTCACATTTTCCATTAGAAGACATCAGGAGGGAAATGCCCTGGGATATAGCTGCTTGCCTGGGCCTGTCTCAAATGCATCATCAATGCATAGTTATGCACCTGGCAGGATGCACAAAATAGTGTGTTTCAAATAATATTTCACCACAATATTTGGCTGTAAACATTTTGATTAGCTCATCCAAGTGATTCTGACCTCAAGGGTTCTCAGCTGTTCCTGATATTGAGAAACCAGCTGCTTCAACTGCTGCAACTCTCGGTTCTTATCATCAAACTCTTTCTGACGTTCATGCTGGATAGCCACAGCCTTTTTTAGTATGGTATTCTCTCTGATCAATACTTGAATTTTCTCCTTCACTACCATGTTTTCCTGAAATGAAAAAACACAGTTATGGAAGCATATTTGAATAAATTATTCAACAGTGTTCTAAGCCGTATAACATTTGCTTCTGATCAAACTCAATATTGTTTACAAAATAATGTTCCAGTAAAAATATTTAAGGAATAGTTAATAAAAGTAAAAGCAACAGCCAATTGCTCCCAGGACAAAAAAAAAAAAAAAAAAAACACCCTCCCCGCCTCCCTGTTGTTTCTCCCTCCCACATATAGAGAAGGAAAGCATTTAATGACGATTTTATCCAAACTGCATCAAAACCACCATGGTTCGCCTTTCACTTCAAGAAAATGGCACTACTGTTGCTATATTAGGTCTACTGTTTATTCCCTAGAAAACTACAGGACAAGATGCAGTTACAGGTATTAAACCTTGATTCACACAGTTCATATTGTACAGTCCTTTTCCTTGGGTGGGTGGAAGCTGGAAGGTAACTGAAATGGGAAAAATAAACAACTTTTTGATTCCTTGAGAAAAAGAAAGAGAAAAAGAAACTTAATCCATGTACATTACCAAGTGTGGAATTCAATCGAATGTTGGGCACGGAGCTAAAGAAACTGACATGTTAGTTACAATTGTTGTTCGCTGTTCAAGAACCAAAGGAAAATTTTTGATAATTTGGGTTCATTGTTCGAAGCAGAAAATAATCAGAAGTACCCCTATCAAAGAGTATCAGTAAGTTAAATGGAAATCATAAGGCTGCCAATCTTCCATACACGCATTCAGGTTTCAGACTAAAAGAGACTAGCTAATGCACTATAAAACAGGCACCTTCTGACAACTCTCAGCTGACTCTTCAGCAGCATGTGCACTGATTGATTTCTCCAAAACCTCCAGTACTCTAGAGGCACGGGCTCTGGCATCATCAACACTGGTAGCACTCATCATTTCCCTCACCAACAAGTCCACCCATTCTGCCCCATCAGCAGGAAGGTTGCTTGGTGGCGGTGCACTCCCAAACGCAGCGGCATCTCCATCAGTTAATGTAACTGGTAATTTTGCATGCAACAGTGAGAATCTTGCCCAGGGCAAGTTATAGATAATGTAGGGAGAAGCGGACATACAGGACAAGAAAAGAGAACGTGAACCGATATCAGGTAGCTCTGATCGATAATTGTTTTACTCTGGTAGACTAAATAGCAATACATTGCAACAATAAATTGTTCTAGGGAACCCCTGGCTCACAAATCACAAGCATGCCATATAGCATAAAAGTACTTCATAAATACACGCTAAGGAATTATGCTGATAAGCATGAAATTCTTACAACAGTGGGCTATCCTATTCATTTTTCTCCTTATTATCTGTAGGGAAAAACATGTAGTACGGCAAATAGACATTGTCACTATCATAGAATGCTAGAACTACCTTTATAAAGCACCATATGACCATGAAGGGAAGACAATCTACAATCAATATTCAAGTATGATGCACGCACAGAGAGAGAGGGAAGTAAGCAAATGCTCAATGTTATTACATTTCAGTATCTGCAATATTTTATAAACATGGGAATACATAATGAAGTCAAAATATTCTTGCCCACACTTAAACCCAGAAAGCAACTACAAACATGCAATCTTCTTGTTGCTTAGTTCGAGATAGCAAAACAAACACAAAAAATGTAAATGGTCAAAAAGATATATCTCCAGTACACATCAAGGGAATTACGGAGTTTCAATGTAAATGATCAATGAGATGCCCTGGGGGAGGAGTCAGTCAATCCTTATTCATACAAAGGTAGAGCGCATTTGGAGGATGTGATAATAAATATATACCTTGCTCAACATCTTGATCAGAACCTGAATAATATTCCACGGGTTCTAAACAATGCTCATGTTCATGGAGGCTCTTGATGGCATAGTCCAAATCATTACCACATTCTTCCAGTGTTTTCTCAAGAAGCTGCAAGGTAATATCATAAAACAATTGAGTTTATAATGTGGAAAGCAGCAAATTGGCTTATCATTGAACCAGAAGACTGGACTCCCACAACAGAACTCTGAGAGGGGAATACATGAAGGTAATCAACTGTGTTGCTAGGATTAGGCTTAATTACAAAGTGGGAACTTGATGTAGTTGAATTCCACTAGCGTCTAAGAGTCTAAGTACGCAAACAGTTATCCCCCAAAAAAAAAAATGGAATCATGCATTAATCAGCAGCTAATTGACGAAAATCAAATGAAGGAGGAAAAGGCAAAGTATATGCAAGGTCGAAAAACAAACACAATTTAGTCAAAATTATTCCTGATGTAAAAAATCTGACATCAAATAAATAATAAATATTGTGAAAAGAAGAGAATAATAGAAAGCCAGATCAATATATATTATTAAAAATTCTGGTGGAAAAGCAAAAACAAATACAATTCAGTAATAATTACAATCATATTTCCTGCTTTTTGATGGCCCTCGGAAACCAAACAATCTGTAAACTTTTTGTTCAGACAAATACTCCCCAGTAATTACACTGAATTCATGTTAACAAAAGAAATGGAAATTTGAGGCAATCTAGAGAAAGAGAACCTGAGGGGGAGTGTGAGGGAAGAGAGATTTTAAGTGATGAAAGCCAGAAGGCGAAGCGGAAGCAGAAGTGGAGCAACGCAGCTTTTTCGAAGAAGAAGAAGAATAAGCAAAGTTATTCTCATCAGAAAGGTGGTAGCTGCTTCTTTTCCGTCCACACACTACCGCTGCCGGCATTTTTTTCGTCTATTCGATTTTGATGATTTCTTCTATTTTTTTATCCTCTATTGATTGATAAGTAGGGAGTGTTTCTTTTTATGTAGGAGGAAGCAGGGCAGTGGTGGACCGGTGGGGTTCATGATCTGAATCTCATTATGATATGAACTGAAATGAAAGGGATAAATTTAATGCTACCAGGAGTCACTGTATTTTTTATTTTTTGTTTAAATGGTCCTTTTATTAATTTTTAGACATCTTTTATTCAAAAGGAATTGGATGAGCAAAAAGCTTTCTTATTATTCATAATTTAATGCAAATGATTCACAATTATGACCTATAAATTTCTTTATCTGAATTCAGGAAGGATGAGCATTCATCCCTAGCCACTATCTTCTATTTCTTTTTTTATTTATAAGTTATGAATTTAAAATTTTATCACCATTAGTTTAAAAAAGAAAAAAATATGATTTAGATTATTGTCATGTTTATAAAAGAATTTTGATTTATGTCTTTTTTTTTAATTTAGATATTCTTTAGATTTTTACAGGTTTCCATTCGATTATAATTTCTTTTAATCATAGTTTCATGAAAGAATTTTCTTTAAATTTTATATATGTCATCATTTTATGAATTTAACAGTTATATTTGACGTTGTTACTCATTTATGCTAACTGAAATGATCTAACTATGACAAAAACATAACGTGCAAGGATGATATTAATACAAAAATAGTAAATGGATGTCTTGAGCAAATAATTAATAGTACAGGGACCAGAAAGAATTAGACCAAAAATGAAACGGTGGCTTTTATTTAATTAGTATATTTTTAAAAAAGTGCTTATGGGCGCGTGCACATGACCCCGGATTTTCGGATTCCAAAAACTCGAAACGACGACTGCTGATGCCGGGTTGCGTCACTTTTCCGCTCTGACCCTTCAAAATCCTTTAAATTTGATAAAAGTTGGTTCAAATGCAATGCACCCATGTAGAAAGAAAAAAAACTCCTTGACATTGTAGAAAAAAGTCCATTTTGATATGATGGAGAAACAAGTATTCGTTGAATCCTTTGCATGCATTCATCAACTGCTTCCTTAAAGCCATCAATCAGTTCAAGTCTAAACTCTAGATTCAACTGTAACATTTTGTCTTCTGCAAAACGTCAAGAGGTTACCAAGATATGAATCTGGGAGCAGATTGTTCCTTGGTCAATATGAGGGATCTTTGCTGTTAATTACAGAATTTTATTTCTTTCAGACTCTTGCAGGCTGCAACTCCAATCCATATTTGGTTCGGTCATCAGCTGCTCCTCAATCTACTCCCATAAAAAGTAACAGTGATAAATAAACCAATAGCGCCTTCGATTCCTCAAAACTGACCGTTCGTAATAATTGAACTATTGTTCCAGTCAAGAACTTGATTCCAAAATCCTGGGAGAAACTATAATCTGTAGGAAAGCTAGAACGTGGAAAATTGATGCACTCTTGTTCTCAGTTCCTTTCTTATAGCGAGTTGGACAACAAAATGTTGCCTAACAAAGTGATAGAGCATCTATTTTACTTGCATTTCGAATGCTAACTGACAATAACAGGCGCTGAAAATACTAACATGGTTCGTGAAGTAAGTAATATCAACTAATCTTTACATTTCCACTAACTTTACTTGGATTCTTGCCATTAAAATGGATCCCCACAGTTACAAGACTCTTACGCAGGACTAAAGACCTGGGCAGGCAGAATGACTGGACCTTTTGGTAGCTTCTGTTTTGCTGCTAACTGGTGGATCACTTCCTGAATTCCCGCAAATGCCACTAGAAATTCTGCTGCATCACTTTGCCTTAAAACTTTCTTCACTGCCAACTCCAACGCCTTCAACCTGCCGGACATAAGTTCATGTATTTTTTCCAGTAAATAACACACATTTCTAGCAGTAATTTCTGTTTAAAAAACCCACCGAATGTGCTTATATCTTGATATTTATGTGTGTCAGTCTCAGGGAAGCAAGGAAAATAAATTCTAGAGGCAGAAGCACATAAGGAAAAAAAAACTTGTATTAGAGGAGCAGAAACTGCTGTGTGCGTGTGTGTGCTGCCAGCAGCGGACAGATACTTTAACAGTTTAACCATAAGAAGAACTGCTACATTTCAGGTCGTTAATGTACTTAGGCTGCAGTTATATAATCAAAGGGATAAAAGGCGGACCTCAGTTGCTGGGCCTTAACTATTACTCTTTCTATCTTCTTGAACTCAGCCCGAATGCAACTCAATGCATTAGCACCCCTTCGATGATTTCTGATAGGAGCAAAGGGAAGGAGAATGATGCATGTGGCTTGAATCTCAGCCATTTCTTCATCTATTATCGCCTCCTCAATACGTATTTCATGAATAAGCTGTGCTAGGAGCCTCTCAACGGCATTCGAGTTGGATGAAGAAGATGACAGCGAGAATGATGAGGATTGGACCAGGACATGGACAAGGTCTAGAATGGCAGAGGGCCGCCAATCCCCTAGCCAAGCCAGAGTGGCCAATTCATGAGGCAGAAACCATTTAGGCATGAGGAGCTGGGGAACATCCTTGAGCCTGGCTGGGAGCACGGCATGGTTGTAGTGAGCAGGGAACCTATTCAATTGCTCTTCAATTAGCTCCTCAATTTTCCACCTTGCTTTGAGTTGTTTCTCTAGCCTTGCAGCTCTAGTCTTCTGTTCTTGTCTCCACAAACCAAACATTCCCCCAGAAACCTCTTCACCAAAAAACAATAGTGACTGTCAGCTTGTGTATTTGATTGTAACAAATTATAAGTATTAGGTGACTAACCATCTGAAACAATGAAATGTCATAGTTTTTTATACATGCAGACTTATCTTTGAAGTTATTGAATTCGTTTGATCAAAAGGAAAAGGTTTGTTTTGATGGTTGTCCTCTTTGTTAATTCTGGAGAATAGGCATGCAGGACACTCAGTTTGGTTCATCACAGTAGAGCGTCTCTCTTGATGTCATTCAGAAAAAGGAAACCATTACTTCAATTTACCATGTAATCTTTTACAAGTACATTTCACTTTCATCTGATGTGAGGCGGACATCCTTCATTATTTGGGTGCCTTGGAAGAGTCTGGAGGACCTAACCAGTTTCACTCAAAACTAGAGGTTCCCTCTCCACTGACACCAGGTAATTGGACAAATATTGGAATCATATCGGTAACATTATGAAGGACTGAGGTCAACTATATATATACAATTTTCGTAATTGCGGACCGAAAAATCCCCTTCTTCTAGTGTCCCAAGATAATTTGTATATATCACATTTGCTTCATAATGATGACACCATAATTGTGTTTCCAGAATACAGACTAAAGTAAATGAAGACAGAGAACAGAAAAGTGCTGGATTTTCTAAGAAAATAACAATTTCAAGCCAAACAACCATGTTCCTCTTATTTTGTTGGGCCAGTAAATTATAGCTACAAAAAGAAACTGACAATATTCTCGAGACCAAAAGCAAGGAACAATTAAAGTTAATTTCCACCAAATTCTTTACATCTGCTATAAAAAGCTTTTCAATTCCCATGTTTGACAGAATAAAAGGGAAACGAAATTAATGGGGCTTTTACCTTTCGTACTCCTTCCTCTCTTGTGAACGGTCATGCACTGGACTACCACAGCTAGATGGTCAGTCTCATCACTGTCTCCTTCTCTTTCAATGCCTTTGCTTTGCATCGCTTGACTTTCTTCTTCTTGTACCTGACAATCTTTCACTTCAAGAAAATTCCTAGGAAATTTTTCATTTTGATCAGCAAGAAAAGAAATTTTGGGACAAGTCGGTTTCTTGGGCATCAAAATTGTGTATTACGTTCTATTGATTTCATAACTTGCAAAACAGTCCACATTTAGTGCATCTTCCAGCAACCAAAAGAAAGCAAGAACTGGGGGACCAAAAAAAAAACTAATTGGATGGTTAGGAGTTAACATGGCTTTTCTTTACATCATTTTCTCAGCTACCACACAAAGTATATGCACATTATGTGAGAGTGAGAACTTACATCTGTTTTTAAAGTCCCACCCACATTTTTCTTTTCTAGGAAATTCAACAGAGATAAGTTCATTGCATGCTCATTTTCTTTTCCTTCCCGTGATTAATATATTCCCGGCAACCAAACAGAAATTTTCTTTTGTTTTCCTTGTTTTTTAAAGAACCAAAAAAAGTACTAAACATGTAATGCATGCAAAAGAAGGTGATGGAGCTTACAAGAGGGGTTATTATGTTGATACTGTCCTCTTCGTTGTTCTTGCTTCTCTCGGAGCTTTCTTGGATATTCTCTCTCTCTCTCTCTCTCTCTCTCTCTGAGGCTTTGTAAAATATGGGCTTCCGAGTCCCTGGTTAACAACGAAAAACTTTCAGGCTAGTTTGACAATTTAATTCATTTTAAACAGAACGGATTTTAGGCCGAGATATAAAATGCGCTTATTTGATACCAGTTTAGTTTTTTTTTATTATTATCATTCTTTACATTAGAACAAAGATGTTAACTATTTTTTCATTTTTATTTTTTAAATTCACACGCTCAAGATTTTTAATATAATTAATCTGTTAATATTTGAATATGTGACTTCTTATAAAAAGATATTATTGCTAAACTATAAACTTTTTAGTAGACCAAAAATATTAACATTTATTATTTTTTTATCAAATAGACACCATCTTGTACGGATCCTGATTTAGCTTAAAATTAGACTAAATTAAATCAAATAATTTGTTCAGTGACTAATGGTACCCAATTTTTAGTTCAGTAGTTGATGGCAATTTGACCAATGGTTGAGAGGGATTTTGTACAGTTTAGCCAATATATTATGCATACGTATTCATATACCTTTTATTTTTATATGGTTTTAAAATTTTATTTTCATCATAAACAACATCATAAGATTTACTAAGTATGTTTCACTTAGATAGCTGTAATGTAAAAAATAAACTTGATTTCATAAGAAAATGATCGAAATTTAAATAGTTTTACATTTAAGTTTAGAATTTAGATGCTAATTGGATTAAAATTTGATTTTACTCGCATGTAAACACAATAAAAGGGCCAATAACATGAAACAACATTTTACTCTTGATATTTTCTTAACGTAGCTCTTTTGTCTTTTTTATCAAGTCTCTCTACTCTCAAAAGTTCCTTAACGTGACCCTTTTAATGGTTTTTAGCTAATTTTATATGCAAACATGATAGATGAAAACAAAATTGAAATGTGTGATGTTATGTTAAATAAAATTGCTATATGGTAAAAAAATAAAAATAAAAAAGAAATTGATAAGAAAAAGAAAATAATTTTTTTAACCTATATTTTTCTCTCAATTTTTTGTTTGTTTCTTTTACAGATTGAAAAACATAAATTATTCTTCCTCACAACTGCAATCTTTGTCAGGCAAAAAAATGTGATCTTTAAAATCAACAATCGAAATTTGGTAAGCTAACTCCTAATTTCTTTGAAAGCGTCCATGGAATCCCACCTAGCACTCATCATCATCACCTTAAGCTCCTTAAAATCAATCATCCTATCACCTTCACTATTAACTCCACTAGGCATCTTTCTTAACTCGGCCATAGAACATATATAGTTCTTTAAACTGGCCATCACCTTGTGCAATTCTTTAGTTAGAAATAAACACATTCCTATCAATAGCGTAAGCAGATAAAATATCCTCTAGACCCAATAAAAGAAGTTTCAATGACAATGACGATAATAACAGTCTAAGAAAGAAGTTTCCATCTTTATCCTAATTAAATTCTAAAATAACACTATTATTATGAACAAAAAGTTTTACTTTTTATCCAAGTAAAGCATAAAGTGGTTAAATCAAATTATATTCAAATGTCATTAATTATCTATTCTTTTAATAATCAAATCATAATCCATGATTAAAATAAAATTTACAAATCTACTTACGACAAAATACCGAGATCTCATCAAGAACACACCAATCTAATCCACCACTCCAATCTTGATCATGGCTTCGAATTTGTTGAAGATGAGAATTGTCACAAAATCAACGCAAAACTATATTTATCAACAACTAGATTAATTATCATTCGAATTTTCAACATTCAATAATCTTTCATCTTCTATTAACTAGTCGATTTCTTGTTCAAGACAAACAAAAATACACAATAGACACAAGAAGAAGAATAAGCCTTGTGTTTGTTTTCCACAATTTGAGCAATAAAAAAAAAAAAAATAGGTTTAAGATAGATTAGTGGGATATGGACAAAAGAGGATGATGAGTTTGTAGTAGTTTCCAATATATAGAATAAGAAAATAAAAAATTGCGAGGTTAAATGAAACAAAGGAGAGAGAGAAAATTAATTTTAAATTTTTTAAGTTATTTTTTAATTTTTTTTGTCATGTGACAATTTTATCCGACACGACATACACATGTCGAGATTTATACCGCTTGCCACATTTGCTTTAAAAATTATTCATAAAACTATCGGAAAAAACTGCATTAAAAAATTCTAATAGTAGAGGGATGTGATAAAAAAAAAAAGAGTAAAGGAATTGCATTAAGAAAATATTACTAGTAGAAGCACGTTTTATGCGATTAATTCCACAATGAAACAAGATGATTAGGTTGGAAGTTAGTTTGCTTATTTATAAACAATTCGATGATAAAATTCACCGCACACCTCATGCAATGTGTGGATGTTTGACTAGTTAATTAAAGAGTTCAAGTACTAATTGAATGAATTTGACATGTTAGTAAATTGTTAAATTGTTGTATTTTTATGTAAATTTTGTTACATGCTCTTTTAATGAAGTTTATAATGTGATGTGTTTACAAAGTGAATATTTTTGAAAACGATATCTAACAAGTTATGTGTTGGCAAATAAATTTTTAGATTTTTTAGAGAAAGAATTTCTATAAATTTAAATATCCTGCTACCTATTTCAAAAATATTCATGTTTCTTTTAGGAAGTGAGAGATTATTTTTATTATGCAATTGGAATTAATTTTAAGCTGATGGATTGTTATTTAATAGAAGTTGGTTGGTTAGGAACTAGCTATTATGATCACGAGTGAGAGACATGAACCATCACATAAGAAAAAATAACCACCATATGGAGTCATTGAAGAGTTATTGAAGTTCATTTTCAAAAGTAGGACTACAATAGGAAGTTGCAAGGGGGAGAAGAAGATATAGAACAATAATTAACACAGAGAGTTACACTTAACTTATTATCTCAAAACTTTACACTTACACTCTATTAAAATTTACGGTAATCCAATTATCCTAATAAAGAATATAAAATTTATGATATGCATAACAAATATTTGTATTGTTTGTCCAATTGTATTTTTAACGGTTTAGCATTTCTATGAGCTTGCAACAAGAAATATGCTCGATTTTTTATCCAACAAAACTTAATAAGGAGAACAAAGACTTAAAGTCTTTTTTAAGTTTAGAGATAGAAGAGAATAGAAACTTGGGATCTTCAAATTTTAGAGATCAAGGAGAATGAGGACATAGGACCTTTGAATTCGGAGGTTGAAGAGGATATAGAAGTAGTGGGGGAAAATGTTTCTTTGGAAATTTAAAAATTGAAAATAATTAAAAAAATTTGCACTCGCTCCTTCGAATTAATACACAATTAAAGGGCTTCTACCTCAATCAAATAATTATTCGAAGACTCTATTGGATTTTCTTAATCCATATATGATTGTCAAAACTTCGACCTTACGTATGTTGTTATTTAAGTCGGTCTTTATGTTGTTTTAGTGTTAAACTCATATACATTGTGAACTAACAAATGAAGTCAGTTTATAGAGAACCGAACCATTATAAATTTTATCAATTGGATCCCGGACGTTTTGAAAAATTCTCAACCTAGTATTTCGTTGATATTCATAACTATTTTTGTCAAATTTTCTCCGATTGATGTCATTTTAATGCTTAAAATATGCATATTTGACTGAAAATGTTAATCTTCATTGATTTTTTTTAATCAAATTTTCTTCAAATTGACTTTGTTCTAGTGAATAATATATCTAAAAAAAAATCAATAGATAACGATATCGATTTTATTAATAAGAAATTTTTTTCGTTAACTTTTCTATCACATTCAATGGATTTAAGTATGAGATAAACGAAAAAGTCCATTCCATATGTAATTTCATGGGTTTGCTTTGTATCCATTAAATCGAGAGTATATTAACTAATTTCTCTAGCAAACTTCTTAAACATCCTATGAGTTTTTGGTCGACTATAAGCAGCTATAAGAAGGCACCATCATTCTTCCTATAGAGAGAGGAAACAAAGAATAAGCTCTCCTCAAAATCTCCCCCAAAACTTCACCGAAAGTAAAAAATATCAAGTGTAATTTTTAAAAATAAGAGTTGAAAATGTTATTGTGTTCAACCACACAGGGATCAATGTAAGTTAATCTTGTTATTTTTACCATTAGATATTAATTATCAAATATTAAACAATATGGTTTAAACATTTTAGTTTTTTATGACTAAAATCAATTTCAAAAATATATATAATAATGGGTACTATGGGGACTAAAGTAAAATGTTTCAATATTGCAGGGACCGAATCGAAAAATCTACCATCATCTTCAACCTTCAATGGGTTAACCCTCTGAAAACAAAACAATCCATTACCCATTATATCTATCTCATGAAGTAGAAAACGTGTTTGGCATACCCCATAATATATATATATATATGTGTGCTTTAGCATTTGGATTGTTTTGACCCATTCACCACCTGTTTTTTAATGGGTCAACCTGCTTGAGGTTGAAGATGATTATGGAGTCTTTGATTGGATCCCTATAGCATTGAAACATTTCACTTTAATACATGTAGTAACCATTATTATATTTTTTTCAAAATTAATTTTAATTTTTTAAAAATAAAATGCTTAAATTACATTATTTAAATATTTCTGTTAACGATCGATATTTTAACTATTAAATATAACAAAAGAAGGGTAAAATTTATCTAAAAATTAATAATTTAAAATAAAAACATTTCAAATTGATAATACAATTCTTATTTTGCTACAATCTCAATAATTTAGAAATAAATCATGTTATTATAGCTTTTAAAGACTGATCATGATTTTTTGTAGTAATATTAAATGTAATTGTTTTATTATAATATTAAATAAATGAAAACATTGTTTCTTTTTTATTTTTTGATCATAATAAAAAACTCAGTTAATAACTATTATTTAAGAAAAAGACATCGTTAAAATTGATTCCGATGGCATTAACATGGATGAAAATCATATGGTTCGTCGTATGACTAAAAGAGGAAGACGTATTTCTTCTTTAAGCACTATAAGGACACAAACTTTTAATAATATCTCAAATATTTATATTTTTTATTTAAAATATAATATTACAATCTATACTCTTATGCAGATATTTCTTTTTTGTGACGTTAAAAATTTCACAAAACTAGGTCTCGCTATCTAAGAAAATTTCGTATTTACATAATAAATATTTTATATAATTGACAAGCCGCACATACAATTGACGATAATTAATAATTTTATATTTTAGTCTTTTTTTTTGTAAATTAGTAATATATAATTGGTGCAGCAAAACTAAATAAAAATCGTTAAACATCGAGAATGTACAAGAAATCTTTGATTTTATTTATTTATTTTACTTTGAGAATCTGCTTTCCTCTCTTGCGTTTTACATTATATTCTTATAAAAGTTTTTGCATAATATATATATATATATATATATATATTATGGAGTTATAGGAAAAGGTCGGCATATCGTGCAACATGTCGTCTGTCACTGCCGCACTTATCTAGAAACCACTATATATATCAAACACCGGAGAAATCTAGTTAATTATTTTGCTCCTCTCTTCAAAACCACGAGAGAGAGACGCACACTCTCTAACACTAAAAGCAAAACCCTAAAGCCTTATTAAAAAACCGATTTGGTGCCAGATCGGAGTAATAATTAATCAATCGAATCATGTGGAACGACACCGGAGAACAACATATTGCCCCTCCAGGGACGGGAGGCCCATCGATACCACCACCGCCTCCGTCTCAGCCTTCTTACACCGTACTGGCGCCGTCGCAAATAGTGTCGAATCCAGCTGATGCTGAGGCGAAGCTGGAGGAGAAGGCGAGGAAATGGCAGCAACTTAACACTAAGAGGTATAGCGATAAGAGGAAGTTTGGTTTCGTCGAAACGCAAAAGGAGGATATGCCGCCTGAGCATGTGAGAAAGATTATAAGGTGGGTGTCGTTTTTTCTTTTCTCGGGTCTGTTAAGAGTTTTAGGGGATTTTAGTTTGTGTTGTATCTGACGATTTAGAGCTGTGGTTCTGGTTTAGCGCTTTCCGTGTTTTTGGTGCGGTGGTGTTTAGGTGTCCTTTCTGTTTTTCTCGGCTTTGAACATTAGTGGTGAGTTTCTACTTTTTTTATTCTTTTGTGCAAGGAGGATTTTTTTTTTTTTTTTTTAATGTTCTATTCGTTCCTTTTTCTGTGGTGTTTGAATTGGATTTTGGTGGTCTTGCTGTCTCTGTTTTTTTTTTTTCTTCAAATTGAAATTGGAATTAAAATTAAAACTGGCTTTTAATCGTTATTTTATTTTAGTTTATTGAAGTTTCGTGTGTTTATCTTTTAGCATCGAACCTTTGGTCATTGTAAGGAAATTTAAACATGCAATATTCGGTGATTTTGTGAGTTTTCATGTCGAATTGCCATAATGAATATGAGATGAGATTGTTTTGAAGTACAGACTGGTGAGTTGCTTTATTTTTGTTATTACTTGTACTATTTTTGTCGATCCTGAGTCATTAAGTTTAATCTGGTCTTCTCTTTAACAGAGACCATGGGGACATGTCCTCCAAGAAATATCGTCATGATAAACGTGTGTATCTTGGAGCCCTTAAATTCATTCCGCATGCAGTTTACAAGCTTCTTGAGAATATGCCAATGCCCTGGGAGCAGGTCCGTGATGTGAAGGTTCTATACCATATTACCGGAGCAATCACTTTTGTGAATGAAATTCCATGGGTTGTTGAACCTATATACTTAGCTCAGGTATGCTAGTTCTCTCTCACTGCATGATACTTGGACGTGCACATATTTTGTTTGGCAATTTGCATTTCTTATTTTTTTACGATAACTGACGAACTTTTTAATATATTTTTGCAGTGGGGGACAATGTGGATCATGATGCGAAGAGAAAAGAGAGATCGTCGGCATTTCAAGAGAATGAGGTTTCCACCTTTTGACGACGAGGAACCTCCTTTGGACTATGCTGATAATTTGTTAGATGTTGATCCTCTGGAGCCTATTCAATTAGAGTTGGATGAAGAAGAAGATTCTGCTGTCTATACTTGGTTTTATGACCATAAGCCTCTTGTTAAAACGAAGCTTATCAATGGTCCAAGTTACAGGAGGTGGCATCTCTCCCTTCCAATAATGGCAACTCTTCACCGTCTGGCAGGACAGCTACTTTCTGATCTAATTGATCGCAACTATTTCTATTTGTTCGATATGGAGTCATTCTTTACAGCTAAAGCATTGAACATGTGCATACCTGGTATGGATTCTGCTCTAGTTAGCTGTGTATGCATGTGTATACATATCTTGCATGAATTTCTATTTCTTTTGCTCTTTTAGAAGTCCATTCTCAAATAGGGTGAAAATGTTGTTTTAACTATTGATATGTAGAGGCAGTAGAACCATCATCAATCTGACAACTTGTGATCCCTAAAGTAATGGAAAGGGAAATATTGGAGAGACGTGTATTGGGTAACAATAATAATTTCTAAGATTTGGCATATGATCGCTGATGCTACAGATAATGGCTCAACTGTTATGCTGGTGTTTCAATTATCAATATTGTAGACTGCTAGGTTAGAGATGCTTGTAAGCTGTTTTGAATTGACAAATCACTGGCTGATAATTCTAAAAATTAACTAAATAGAGCAGCATATTGTTTGAAACGAAGCTTGCACGAGATGTTGATTGAGTCAGGGCTCACAAAGTCTTCAACTAAATTTTCAATTGTAGTTAGCACATATCCCGGTGGTGTAATTGATGCTGATTAAATTATCCTTATGAATTGTCCTAGATGCTTAATATATTTCTATGTGGTGGGGTTTGATTGATTTTGAACTATTTTTGTTCTCTTGTAGGTGGGCCTAAGTTTGAACCTTTGTATCGTGATATGGAGAAAGGGGATGAGGACTGGAACGAGTTCAACGACATCAACAAACTCATTATTCGATCGCCTTTGCGGACAGAGTATAGGATTGCATTTCCTCATCTTTACAACAATAGGCCCAGGAAAGTAAAACTTTGTGTGTATCACACACCCATGATCATGTTCATTAAAGCCGAGGATCCTGATTTACCTGCTTTCTATTATGATCCTTTGATACACCCAATAACCTCTGCCAACAAGGAACGTCGTGAAAAAAGACTCATGATGATGATGATGATGATGGTGAAGATTTCGTTCTGCCAGAAGGGGTGGAGCCTTTTCTTGAGGATACACAGCTTTATACAGACACCACAGCTGCTGGCATTTCCTTGTTATTTGCCCCACGACCTTTTAACATGAGATCTGGACGGATGAGGCGAGCAGAAGATATACCGCTTGTGTCGGAGTGGTATAAGGAGCACTGGTAAGATTCTAGTTTCTTTTGTGCTGTTCGCATGTACAACCTTTTTCTGTTGTGCCTGAAGAACCTGATTTTCTTTTGTTGTGTTTTCAGTCCTCCATCATATCCTGTCAAAGTTCGAGTGAGCTATCAGAAATTGTTGAAATGTTTTGTGTTGAATGAATTGCATCATAGACCACCAAAAGCTCAGAAGAAGAAGCACTTGTTCCGGTCTCTTGCAGCAACTAAATTCTTCCAAACCACAGAACTTGATTGGGCTGAAGCAGGTCTTCAAGTTTGTAAGCAGGGGTACAACATGCTGAATCTGTTGATACACCGAAAGAATTTAAATTACCTCCACCTTGATTATAATTTCAACTTGAAGCCTGTGAAGACCCTTACTACAAAGGAACGCAAAAAGTCAAGATTTGGGAATGCTTTTCATCTTTGTCGTGAGATCTTGCGTTTGACAAAGCTTGTGGTTGATGCCAATATACAGTTCAGGCTGGGTAATGTGGATGCTTTCCAACTGGCTGATGGTCTTCAGTATACATTTTCCCATGTTGGTCAGTTGACAGGAATGTACAGATACAAGTATAGGCTGATGCGTCAGATAAGAATGTGCAAAGATCTTAAGCATTTGATATATTACCGCTTCAATACTGGCCCAGTGGGTAAGGGACCTGGTTGTGGGTTTTGGGCACCCATGTGGAGGGTATGGCTGTTTTTCCTACGTGGCATAGTGCCGCTTCTTGAAAGGTGGTTGGGGAATCTTCTCGCGAGACAGTTTGAAGGGCGCCATTCAAAAGGAACTGCCAAGACTGTTACAAAGCAGCGTGTTGAGAGCCACTTTGACTTGGAGCTCCGTGCTGCTGTTATGCATGATGTTCTTGATGCCATGCCAGGTTGTCATCTTCTCTTTCCATTTGGTGTTCTATTTTTTTTCCATACCTTCCTTTATTCTGTATATTTGTATATGTGTGCCTAATTGTGCAATATCAATTTGCAGAGGGCATTAAGCAAAATAAGGCTAGAACGATACTGCAGCACCTCAGTGAGGCTTGGCGATGCTGGAAAGCAAACATTCCCTGGAAGGTTCCTGGTTTACCAGTTCCCATTGAAAACATGATACTTCGGTATGTCAAGTCAAAGGCAGACTGGTGGACGAATGTTGCTCACTATAATCGTGAGCGTATAAGAAGGGGTGCAACTGTTGATAAGACAGTTTGTAGAAAAAATCTTGGAAGACTGACTCGCCTTTGGTTGAAGGCAGAACAGGTAACTTTACTTCTTTTGATATTTCATTTTCTAAAATAGTTTCCTGTGATATTTCTTGCTACAATAGATACTATAAATAAGTGAACTCCATGGTGTATTGCTTGTCTTCATACCTGTATTACCTCATCAGAGCATCCTGTAATAGTTCTTTCTATGTTCATTTCCTTCTAGGAACGTCAACACAACTATTTGAAAGATGGCCCGTATGTCACTCCAGAAGAAGCTGTTGCTATTTACACAACAACTGTCCATTGGCTGGAGTCCAGAAAGTTTTCCCCAATTCCATTCCCTCCCTTGTCATACAAGCATGACACTAAGCTACTTATACTTGCTTTGGAAAGGCTGAAAGAATCATATAGCGTGGCTGTGAGATTAAACCAACTTCAGAGGGAAGAGCTGGGCCTTATAGAACAAGCGTATGATAACCCACATGAGGCTTTATCTCGGATAAAGCGTCACCTTCTCACTCAGCGTGCTTTCAAAGAAGTGAGTTGACAATTGAGCTTGAATTGGCTTTGACCTTGTTCTACTTGCCATCTTATTGCAGATATCTGATTGAAATTGAACTGTTATTTTTCCTTTTCAGGTTGGCATAGAGTTCATGGATTTGTATAGCGCTCTGATTCCTGTTTATGAAATTGAACCTCTTGAAAAAATAACAGATGCTTATCTGGACCAATATCTGTGGTATGAAGGTGACAAACGTCACCTCTTTCCAAACTGGATTAAACCTGCAGATTCTGAGCCTCCACCACTGCTTGTTTATAAATGGTGTCAGGGGATAAACAATTTGCAAGGTATTTGGGACACAAGTGAGGGGCAATGTGTGGTGATGCTTCAGACCAAGTTCGAGAAGTTCTTTGAAAAGATTGACTTGACAATGTTGAATAGGTAAATATTCCCCAGCTCTTTTGCTTATGTTATAGGGAAAGTTTCCAATCTTGATTGATTAATCTCTCTTAAACTTTTCAGGCTTCTTCGTTTGGTTCTCGACCACAATATTGCTGATTATGTTACTGCAAAAAACAATGTTGTCCTTTCCTACAAGGATATGAGTCATACCAATTCGTATGGTTTGATACGTGGCCTTCAGTTTGCTTCTTTTGTGGTACAGTATTATGGGCTTGTGCTGGATCTCCTACTTCTTGGATTGACTCGAGCCAGTGAGATTGCTGGTCCACCACAAATGCCAAACGAATTTATCACCTACTGGGATACGAAGGTTGAGGCACGACATCCAATTCGTCTGTATTCCAGGTACATTGACAGGGTGCATATCTTGTTCCGGTTCACTCATGAAGAGGCCCGAGATCTAATTCAGCGATATCTTACTGAGCATCCTGATCCCAACAATGAAAATATGGTTGGGTATCAGAACAAGAAATGCTGGCCTAGAGATGCAAGAATGAGGCTTATGAAACATGATGGTATGTAATCTGGAGATTCCATGTAACCAAATTATTGCATTTCTTTAATTTTCTTGAAAAATTAATGCTTTTTTATTAATCTCTTTTCAGTCAATCTTGGGAGGAGTGTTTTCTGGGACATGAAGAATCGTCTCCCTCGAAGCATCACAACTTTAGAGTGGGAGAACAGCTTCGTTTCTGTTTACAGCAAGGACAACCCAAACTTGCTTTTTAGCATGTAAGTATACTCACTCTTACACTGCAGTTTTATTTGTGTAAGCACATGCACGGTGTCATTCCATATTTTTTTAACTTCTTAGTTCCTATTAGTGATGTTGTTTCAAACTTTGATGTTAGTGTCTTGCTATCTCCAAAGTTAGTTCCTCCAGCGTTTATTGCGTCCACAACTTGGTTCTAACATGATAAATACCGTTCTTTGAAATTTTGATAATTTGTTCATTGTGTATTTTTTCATTTGTTCATGTCGATTTAGTTATGCCTCGCTGTATCTAGTTACAAAGACATCTTTCTAATGTTGAAATATTGGCTTGTTTTGGGGGTGGGTGGGGGAGTCATGGTTCAATTTGCCAACTTTTGATTGGTAGCATATGCCTTACAGTTGTAATATTATTTCAGACATGAAGTGCACAGGGTTTGTATGTTAGCATGTCTATAAGGTTTTCAGATCTCTTATTGTGGATGTGTGATCGCAACTTATTTGTATTTATTATAATTGTTGCAAGATACTGCAATTTTAGAAGAGAGACTATGAGACATCAATTTCCTAATTAAACTAACTGATACTTCTTATGTGCAGGTGTGGGTTTGAAGTTCGGATACTTCCTAAAATAAGAATGACTCAAGAAGCTTTCAGCAATACAAGAGATGGTGTTTGGAATTTGCAGAATGAGCAGACCAAGGAACGTACCGCAGTTGCTTTTCTACGGGTTGACGATGAGCACATGAAAGTGTTTGAGAATCGTGTGAGGCAGATTCTGATGTCCTCAGGGTCAACTACTTTCACAAAGATTGTTAACAAATGGAATACAGCCTTGATTGGTAATCACTGCATCTTGCTAATCAGTTTGTCCCTTTTGCTTAAATACTATTTGCTGAAATTTTGTGATTTTTGTTACTCTATTTGTAGGTTTGATGACTTATTTCCGTGAAGCAACTGTGCATACTCAAGAGCTGCTAGATCTGCTCGTTAAATGTGAAAACAAAATTCAAACCCGTATCAAGATTGGGTTAAACTCAAAAATGCCAAGCAGGTTAGTAATTGTACTCTTGACATACCATGTTATATCTGCTGTGTTTTGCTTGAAAAATTGTTCTGAATTTAACTTCTGTTTCAGGTTTCCTCCTGTTATCTTCTATACACCAAAAGAAATTGGAGGACTTGGCATGTTATCCATGGGTCACATATTGATTCCTCAAAGTGACCTTCGATATAGTCAGCAAACAGATGTTGGTGTAACCCACTTCAGGAGTGGGATGAGTCACGAGGAGGACCAGCTGATTCCAAATCTTTACCGGTACATTCAGGTAAGCTCAAATAAGTCAGATGTATATACTGCATTCCCTGATTTTGGAGTATTTGCTCAACTGTTCTGAACTTGATACTGTTTTGTCAACAGCCATGGGAGAGTGAATTCATTGACTCACAGCGGGTCTGGGCAGAGTATGCATTGAAGAGGCAGGAAGCACAGGCACAAAATAGGCGTCTAACTCTTGAAGATTTGGAAGTAAGTTTTTACTTTTGTCCAATTTAGAACCACTTTATCTTTTGCCTTTAATTGGCACTTATTTTATGTGGTCTTTGTGGAGTTGTTACTGAAGAGTGTTTTTGCTAATTGCTATCCTATTGCATTGATAGGATTCTTGGGACAGGGGAATTCCACGCATCAATACTCTGTTTCAGAAAGATCGGCACACTTTAGCGTATGATAAAGGGTGGAGAGTGCGCACAGACTTCAAGCAATACCAAGTTTTAAAACAAAATCCTTTCTGGTGGACGCACCAGAGACATGATGGGAAATTGTGGAACTTGAACAATTATCGAACTGATGTAATCCAAGCTCTTGGTGGTGTTGAAGGAATTCTTGAGCATACCTTGTTCAAAGGAACATAGTAAGTACTTCTAACACTGCAATTTTATTTCCATATTTTTAGTATTAGCCTAACTAAGAGTATATTAATTTGCATTGCCTTTGTGTAAAGGAGAAATTAAGGTAAAAAGCTGCATAATTACAATTTACAGATGGTAATATTGTTGGCACATAATTGTCATAACTCCGGAGATGATTTTCACTTTATAACACATTCTTTTTCTTTCAACATGCTGGAGTTTTGTGGGGTTTATTCCATATCTACTAATGATTACATCACATGTCTCTGACTTACGGCAGAAACTATGATTTTTTTTTTACAAATCAATATTTCTGTAACTACTATTCTGGTTGTGATATTTCAGTTTCCCAACTTGGGAAGGTCTCTTTTGGGAAAAGGCATCTGGCTTTGAGGAGTCAATGAAATATAAGAAGCTTACTAATGCACAAAGATCTGGTCTGAATCAAATTCCGAACCGTAGATTTACACTTTGGTGGTCCCCCACGATAAACAGGGCAAATGTTTATGTGGGTTTTCAAGTGCAGTTAGATCTAACCGGCATCTTCATGCATGGGAAGATCCCGACCTTGAAGATTTCATTGATTCAGATATTCCGTGCTCACTTGTGGCAGAAGATTCATGAGAGTGTTGTTATGGACCTCTGTCAGGTTTTGGATCAGGAGCTGGATGCTTTGGAAATTGAGACTGTGCAGAAAGAAACAATCCATCCTAGGAAAAGTTATAAAATGAACAGCTCCTGTGCAGACGTTCTCCTTTTTGCTGCCCATAGATGGCCCATGTCAAAGCCTAGTCTTGTGGCAGAGTCAAAAGATGTGTTTGACCAGAAAGCAAGTAATAAATACTGGATAGATGTACAACTTAGATGGGGAGACTATGATTCTCATGATATTGAGCGCTATACTAGGGCCAAATTTATGGATTACACAACAGACAACATGTCTATATATCCATCTCCAACTGGTTTGTTTTCCTATCCTGTGTTCCAGCTTTTCACTTTCATCATTTCGTACCTTTTCTTCTGGTGTAATTTAAACCATCCTTTACTTGTTTCTGTTCAGGGGTTATGATTGGGCTTGATCTGGCGTACAATTTGCACTCTGCATTTGGCAACTGGTTTCCAGGGTCCAAACCACTGCTAGCTCAAGCAATGAATAAAATAATGAAGGTATACTTTTCATGCTTGATACAACATTTCTGTTGTATATCAGTTAATTAATTTATGATATAACTGTTGAGCTCTTGTGCTAATGGTTTATTTTGGTGCAGTCAAACCCAGCTTTGTATGTCTTGAGGGAGCGGATAAGGAAAGGTTTGCAGTTGTATTCTTCAGAGCCTACAGAGCCATATTTATCGTCTCAAAATTATGGGGAGATCTTTAGCAATCAGATAATATGGTTTGTTGATGATACTAATGTCTACCGTGTCACAATCCACAAGACATTTGAAGGGAATCTCACGACAAAACCCATAAATGGTGCAATATTCATATTCAATCCAAGAACCGGGCAGCTATTTTTGAAGGTTTTTTTCTTTTTGCTTTGAATGTTGTTTTTAAAATTATCTTCTTGCCATGGATGTTCTGAAAATTTTAACATGATTTTTTTGCAGGTTATTCACACTAGCGTATGGGCAGGACAGAAGCGTCTGGGTCAGCTTGCCAAGTGGAAAACTGCTGAAGAAGTTGCTGCTCTTGTGCGGTCTCTGCCTGTGGAAGAACAACCAAAACAGATTATTGTGACTCGTAAAGGGATGCTTGATCCGCTGGAGGTTCACTTACTTGATTTCCCCAACATAGTTATTAAGGGAAGTGAGTTGCAGCTCCCGTTCCAGGCATGTTTAAAGATAGAGAAATTTGGTGATTTGATTTTGAAGGCAACGGAACCACAAATGGTTTTGTTCAATATTTATGATGATTGGCTCAAGAGTATATCATCTTACACTGCATTCTCCCGACTCATTCTGATTCTTCGTGCGCTTCATGTTAATAACGAGAAGGCAAAGATGCTGCTCAAGCCTGACAAGACTATCGTTACTGAGCCACATCACATCTGGCCTTCTCTTACTGATGATCAATGGATGAAAGTCGAGGTTGCTTTACGGGATCTCATACTCTCTGACTATGCCAAGAAGAACAATGTGAACACCTCAGCACTTACACAATCTGAGATACGTGATATTATTCTTGGAGCGGAGATCACTCCTCCATCTCAACAAAGGCAGCAGATAGCAGAGATTGAGAAACAGGTAATGCATCATCCAACTTCATTTATATTTATTGCTCTTTACTCGTTGCTTGTCATAACTGAGTATTCTGTTGGACGTGTCAGGCCAAAGAAGCGAGTCAACTGACAGCAGTCACCACAAGGACCACAAATGTGCATGGTGATGAACTCATTGTCACAACCACTAGTCCATATGAGCAAGCTGCATTTGGTTCTAAAACAGATTGGCGTGTCAGAGCTATATCTGCTACAAATCTCTATCTTCGAGTCAATCATATATATGTGAATTCCGAGGATATCAAGGTACAAATCCATGCTCTTTTTTTTTCATGATAATTTACATGAAAATATTTCCACTCTTTTGACATCGTACACTTGATTTTCCAGGAAACTGGATACACCTATATCATGCCGAAGAATATTTTAAAGAAGTTCATCTGTATAGCAGATCTGCGAACTCAAATTGCTGGGTATTTGTATGGCATAAGCCCCCCAGACAATCCTCAGGTTAAGGAAATTCGGTGTATTGCAATGGCCCCCCAGTGGGGGACTCATCAACAGGTGCATCTTCCATCAGCTCTTCCTGAGCATGATTTCCTCACTGATCTGGAGCCTTTGGGATGGATGCACACACAACCAAATGAGCTTCCTCAGTTATCACCACAGGTTTGACTATTTTCTTTTAATCCATAATTGAGTGCAACCACTTTTTTTTTCTCCCTCTCCAATGAAGGGAGGGCGATAATTTCTCTGTCATCTGTTTTCTCACTTGACCTATTTGTTTGTGTAGGATCTCACTGCTCATGCTCGGGTTTTGGAGAGCAATAAGCAATGGGATGGAGAAAAGTGCATCATCCTGACTTGTAGTTTCACTCCAGGATCATGCTCCTTGACTGCATATAAACTTACTCCTAGTGGTTATGAGTGGGGACGTGTCAACAAGGACACAGGAAGCAATCCTCATGGTTACCTACCGACCCACTACGAGAAGGTTCAGATGCTCCTGAGTGACCGCTTCCTTGGTTTCTACATGGTGAGTACAAGACCAGAATGTTTATTTAATCACTGTCCAAAAAATGCTCAGTTGTTTTGTGATGTGAGTAACTCTTTGTTGTAGCAATACTTGCTTTGATTTTGGGGACTGACTGACTTGATATTTTTCTTGTGCTGTTTAGGTTCCTGATAATGGGCCATGGAATTACAACTTTATGGGAGTGAAGCACACAGTGAGCATGAAATATGGAATCAAGCTAGGGACACCTCGAGAGTATTACCACGAGGACCATAGGCCAACCCATTACCTGGAGTTCAGCAACTTGGAGGAGGGTGAGACAGCTGAAGGTGATCGAGAGGATACCTTCACTTGAAGTATAATATTGCTGTAGTTGAATCTGAATTGACGACCATGGTGCCTTTTGAAACGCAAGTAGTTGATAAAATCGTACTTTTAACTAATTTTGTTGTACTAATATTTGCATTTCCTAATGATGTTACGCATATCTCTGTTAGTCTGCAAAAGTGTTCTTGATGAACTGTAAATATATGCTAGAAGCTGGAATTGAACAATGAGCTTTGGCTCTATTTTTGGCGGTGCATTTATTCTGAGATTATTGCACGGTCAGCTGAGAATGTAGGTGGTGATATGATAGGATGGTTTTGCATGGCCACTAAGGCCATATTAAGTTCTGATTTTTAGCATGTTCGGTTTTTTCTACTTTAGTACGGCTTGAGCGTGGTTCCTACTTTTTGACGGCTGCTGAAAACTTTGTTTTTTTTTCTTCACAAGTATGTACCGAGTTATTTAAAATTATGGATTCTTAATTTGTCTCCATAAACAACAGGCGAGCCTGACATGATAAATGATTGGTTTTAAATCTGTGCCGTTGGCCTTTTCTCCGACAACATTATTTTATAATTCATGAATTTAGTGGTCAAAGATTGATCGTGATTTGTTTTCTGAAGAGGATTAAAGTCTTATTACGGTGGTGCGCCACCTGGGTGTTCCACTTTCTCTGGGAGAGCGCAGCCTTAAGGGTAGTTATTTAAAAGAGTATATGTACAAATTACAAATCCTGTTCACTAGGTGTTTTTTTAAAGCACTAGGGGTGCAATAAGGAATGCTTTGTTTTCGTTTTTCGAGATACTTTTTATTTAAAGCCCTGTTGACTCTCACCACGATTGTTTAGTTAACTGTTTAGTAATTTATTATTTTGCTGTTTGAATTGAATTTAATAAATTGTTATGTTGTTTGAATTAAAATTATTATAGGTAAAATAACTCAAATTTATTTTAAAAGAAATTAATTGAAAAAAATGAATGCTTTTATTTGTAAACTGAAGGGTTCCAAATAGTGTAAGTATATAAAAAATACTTTACCTAGTTTTTATAATAAAAAAATAAATATAAATACTATGTAATTTAATTAAAACCGATATGAGTAATATTGTTGTTTTGTAATTTCAGAATTTCTAATTGTTGTTATTTAAATAAAACAATCACCCTCCATCTCAAAAAACATCAATTTCCATGTTTTTCTAACTGTAATCCAATATGTCTTTTAAACGAACCCCCTTCCACTCATAAAAATTAATCAACCTTAAAAGTAAAGCAATATTAAACAGAGCTAAACAGGCTCTTAGAGACTTGGTTTGGACTACACACCGAAAGTGTGGCTCTCTCCTCATCACCTTCGTTTCATTTGAGTGCTTCGTCCCAGTTCAAGAAAGGCACTTCATCTCCCTGTCTTGCTGCACCGGCATAGAAGGAGACCCATCTCAATTAAATTTGAATAAAATACACAACAAAAGAAATACATCAACTTCACCACTTCACTTTCTAGACAGATACCAAAGCCACTTGGTACACTCGAAGGGCACAAACACACCAATTTCGGCAGTCTTAAAACAATGCTTTCACAACAGTTGGTAGCATCATTCCTGACAGCTCTAATAAATGGATTGCCAGAGCTACCATGTGTTCAAAGAGAAACTCAGCTCAAACCAAATTTTACATGTGCAAATACTTTCAGCTACTATTGAGTATTTTCTTGTACAATCTCTTTCACTTCCTGCTTCACATCCTTCTCCTCCGAGATGAAGTCCGAGCTGTCCTCGGCAACCGATATTCCATCATTATAATCAGCAGCCTCAGGGGCCTTGAACAGTTCATCGTTTTCTAGTTCAGATAATTTCTCCTTTGACTCTCCCTTCAGTAGCTCTACCACATCAAGCATTGTGGGTCTTCTCTCTGGCAGATTGTGAGCACAAACAAGAGAGACAAGGACAACCCTTCTCAACTCTTCCTCATCATACTTCCCATTCAGCTTGGGATCTGCCAGTTCACTGAACTTCCTCTCACAAGCCAATGGCAGAGCCCAATCTGTAATTGTTCTTTTAGCTGTAGAACTCACCTTCTCAAGTGGTTTCTTACCAGTAGCAAGCTCTAGCAAGAGAATGCCAAAGCTGTATACATCACAGCTCTCTGATGCTTTTCCAAGCATAGCATATTCTGGGGCAAGGTAGCCAAGTGTACCTTTAACTCTTGTGGTTACATGTGTTGCACCATCGGGGATCAGCTTTGCAAATCCAAAATCAGCAACCTGAGCCTGGAATTCTGAATCTAGTAACACGTTGCTAGCTTTGACGTCTCTGTGAATGATATGGGGGGTTGCATGGTGGTGAAGATACCTGGAATAATCATATGATGAAGTTAGCTATGTGGCAGCAGGAGATAGGAAGGAGTTGAGCTCGATATACTTACGCAATTCCCTCAGCAGAACCTATAGCAATATTCATCCGTTTCTTCCAGTCAAGAAGACATTCTGTAGAGTGTTGTCCATGAAGGTGAGAGAGCAGGCTCAAATTTGGCATGTAGTCATAAACAATCAGACGCTCTTGCCCTTCAGCACAATAACCGCGTAGGCTCAGCAGATTCTTGTGCCTAACACGTGCTAATATCTCCACCTCAACAGAAAATTCCAAATCCGCTTTGTTGCTCCAGACCTTTAACCTTTTCACTGCAATCTGCATAAATATCTCTTTCAGATTGGATCTAATTTGAACATAAGCAATCAGAAGGTGTCTCTGATGGGACAATCAAGAAATTAAAACTCAAGGATTCCATATTAAAGTCCCAAGTTGAAATCCTAGCAAGAGTGGGATGGGGAACAGCTACTCTCTGCTATATCCCCAAAGCCAGTGAACAATGCATTAAAAAAAAATAAAAAATAAAAAAAAATAAGCCACAAGATTCCTGTCACTGTACAGAAGAAAGAGAATTACAAATAATGCATTGCTTTGCATAGGATAACATAAAGATCAAGCAAGAAACACCTGAGTCTCAAACCAAGCTTCTGAATACAATTGGTTGCTATAGGTATAATTTCTTATAATGACGGCTAAAGTTACGCAAGACACTTTGGCATAATGAAACTGATGAAGACTACAAATTGAAATCTTCTCACTTTCTACGTGATCCTTGAACACACATGAACTAATCTTCCAAAAGGCATATGAATTACCAATTAGTAGAAAGTTATCATAAGGAGCACAACAAGATCATAATATGATGATCAACATATATCAAGTTAAGAATTGCAATAACACACCTGAGAAATATATCAGAAAAGCAGGTTTTATGGCATGTAAGACATAACACCGATCCACTTCCCAAAATTTCCGCTATAAGTAGTTCTTTGAAAGGGCATGTATAACTACTTTATTCCAAGGAAGTCTCAACAATAGAAAGAAACACTCTTATATTGTTTAGTGGGGTCTTGGGAGGAAAAAAGTAGAGATAGTCCTATCTTTTGATGTTTTGGCACGAAGTGACAGCTCAAAATGCTTAAACATGCATCCTAGCAGCTGCAAGTCCAAGACTTACTATTACCCCAAGTAATGGCTCCCGTTAGCATTCTTGCTATAAGAACTAAAACTTTCTTCACTGTCTAATTAGAAGAAAAAGAACCCTAACGATATGAAGCTCGTTGGAATTATTATAAATCACTTAAGGTCCCAAATTCTGAGTTGCTTTTTATGTCATCTGGATATGTTCACCAAAAAAAAAAAATCCAAATGGGGATGTGGCTGGTTTTAAATCATGGTTATGTAATTGTAACTGACGAATAACAATTGAGCTGAATTTCTCCTGGCCTACCTGAAATAAACCCAATGATGAGCTGAGCATCTTTACCAAAAGAATTGCCTAAGCTTGAATTCTTTAAGCATCATCTTTTTAAGTGTACAAACACTTACTTTGGATTTTTAATAACAAGAAAAATGCAAATACTTTTGTTTCACTTCTACTGCTACATTATTTTCCCATTTGTCCAGAACATAGTTTTAAATAACTCCCGTTATGTTATATAACGGCCGTTATATAACAGTTTTGGAGCATTCCGTTACCGTTATTTTAGTATTATAGTAAGCCGTGATCCGCGATGATGACCATGATCGTTTTTTCACCCGTCCGTTTTTTAAAAGGTATGGTCCAGAAGCATCAATGCTATTAGGTGAAAGTCATTGCTTATGCCATTACAGCAGAATAAACAAGGGAGGAAAGAATCAAAAGAGTACTCAATATCATCTGTCCAGAAGCATCAATGCTATTAGGTGGGAGTCATTGTTTACGCCACTACCGCAGAATAAACAAGCAGGGAAAGAATCAAAAGAGTACTCAATATCTCTTTGACAATTCTGTTTCCTTCACCATCAAGTGAAGCATGTTCTGTATGGTCTAAAGAAGACTGGAGTATTACTGGAATCACAGACATAACAGCTGATTTCACACCATGCATCATGCAGAAAAGACACCTAACACTCCGGTACCTCTGTCTTCAGCAAGATCCATAAATAAATCTTAAATAGTAGATGAACTAGAGAGATTTAGCTTTAGTGGGCTTCACCAGGGAGGGGTTGACCCACCTTAACCTTTCTTAACAGGTATAAATGCGATCCGTAGCCCTTAAACATATCATAAGGACACTTGACACAAATTTTGTTAGCCCAGTATGTCCCCTATATCACTATATATACCCCTCACATCTCTTATCATGCGACTTCTCCCTCATTTCTCAAGCAAACTATCCAAATTCACAGTTTCTCTTTCTAATCTCCCATATATCTCCTCCTGCATTCCCTTTTATGAAACCTACCATCATATTCACCTCACAAATGATACCCATATCTTGATCTCTTCACCCGCTACGTGAGCTACACTTATTAAGATACTTTACTTGCACCCAACATGCCCAGCTCCAAAAGGACCAACCTGTCTACATCATTTTAGTTTCATTGCCACCACTGTTGTACTAAAATGCACTTAGTAAACTAATTTAAGGACCACTTATTCTGCAAAATCTGCTACATAA